ACACAGGTTGTCTTTCCATTTGGTCAAGGATAATTCCGGGTCTTTCAAGAGCTTTTTGAGGTTTTTTTTTAATAGGTTTTCCACATTTCTTGTTAAGTTTATTTATAAGTACTTTATCTTCGTTAATATTGTAAATAGAGTTTCCGCCATCATTAAAACCTTTACCTGATTGTGTATATGAGGGCTATTGGATTCTGAATATTAATTTTATATCCCTGTACCTTTTTAAATTTTTTATTTTTTGAGTTAATTTTTTCATTGATTCTCTTGGGTTTTCCACTTATACCGTCATACATTTGCAAATAAAGATAGCATGGCTTCTTTTCCAACTCGTGTGTCTCTGGTTGATTTCTCTTGTCTAATTGAACAAACTAATCCTTCCGGTACAGTATTACCTTGTTCCTATTCTTAGTGAAAATGCTTTTAGATTTCCCCATTAAGCGAGAAGCAGGCTTTAGGACTAAGCTTTGTACATTTTTATCATGTTAAGGAACTAGCCATTGATTTTTTTTTAAGTGTTTTTATCACTAATGAGTGTTGAATTTGTCAAAAGCCTTTTCAGCATCTATGGAGATGCTAGGATAATTTTCTCTTTAGATCTATTAATATGGTATATTATTTTAATGGATTTGCTAAGAATGAACCAACCTTTCATTCCTGGAATAAGTCCCACTAGGTCATCATCTGTTATTTTCTTAATATAATATTGAATTCTGTTCCCTAATATCTTATTTAGGTTTTTTGTACCATATTAATAAATGATATCAATGTATAATTTTCTTTTCGCTTGTGCTAGCATTATCTTCTTAGCTGTTGTATTGGTTTCTTATCACTGCTGTAACAAATTACCACAGTGCCTTAAAACAACACAAATTTATTCTCTTATGTTTCTGGAGGTCAGAAGTCTGAAATTGGTCTTACTAGGCTAAAATAAAGGTGGGCTAAAATCGGGTCTGAGTTCCTTCTGGGGCTCTAAGAGGGGACCCATTTCCTTGCCTTTTCCAGCTTCTGGAGGTTCCCTGATCCTTTGTTCATGACAGGTTTCACCATCTTCAAAGCTAGCAATGTAGCATCTTCAACTCTCAATCTCTCTCTGACCTCTGCATCTGAGGTCATGTCTTCTCTGACTCTTCTGCCTCTTTCTCTAATAAGGACCTTTGTGATTACATCAGCCCCAGCTGGATACTCCAGGATAATCTCCCCATCTCAAGATCCATAACTTAAATCATATCTAGAAAGTCCCTCTTGCCATATAAGGCAATATGGCCACAGTTTCTGGGGTTCAGAATGTGGACATTGTTGGGGGACAGGTCCATTATTCTGCTTACCACAGCTAGCAGGCTTATACTTACTTCATAACAAGAGTTTGGAAGTTTTCTTTGATATTCTATGCTCTGGAACAGATTATATAGCATTGGGATTCTCTTTTCCTTAAAGATTTAGTAAAGTTTCCCTTTGCAACCATAAAAATCTGGTGCTCCTTTGCAGAGTAGTACTTTAATAACCTTTCTTTTCCTTCTTTGGAAATTGTTCTATTTAGACTTCTATTCCTATTGGGTCAATTTCAATAAACTGTATTTTCCTGGGCAGTTTTCTATTTCATGTAGGTTTTCCGATTTATTTCCTTGTAGATCTGCAAAGTAGTCTCTTTTTTTTTAAGATTTTATTTTTCCTTTTTCTCCCCAAAACCCCCCATACATAGTTGTGTATTTTTAGTTGTGGGTCCCTCTAGTTGTGGCACGTGGGAAGCCGCCTCAGCATGGCCTGACGAGCAGTGCCATGTCTGCGCCCAGGATTCAACTGGTGAAACCCTGGGCCGCCAAAGTGGAGCGCGCGAACTTACCCACTCAGCCACGGGGCTGGCCCAGTCTCTTGTGTTTTAAATTTTGTGTATTTCAGACATAAGTCCTCCCTTGTCGTTTTCTATTTTGTATATTGGAACTTTCTCCCGTTTTTCTTAATTAGGCAAGCTAGCCATTATCTGTTTTGATACTTTTTTAAAGAGCCAGGATTTTGATTTATTAATTAGATATGCCATTTTTGTCTTCTCTAACTTATTAATTTCTGCTTTTACCTTTATTATTTACTTCCTTGTGCTTTCTTTTGATTTACATTGTTCTCTCTCCAGCTTTTTGAGTTTTAGGTTCAATGCACTTATTTCTTTCATAAATTCTAATACAAAGTGTTTTCATTATCATTATTTTTAAGACATTCTGTAATTATAGGTTTATGTTTCCCTTTCCACCTAGATGATGTTTAATAAAAGATTTGTCAGTTTCCAGGTGAAAAGGCTTTCTTGTTGTTTTAGTTTTATTAATTTCTAATTTTATTGTATTGTGTCAAAGTGTTGTTTGTATTATTTCTATTTTATGCAACTTACTGATGCAGTCTCTGTGACCTAATATATAATCAAATTATGTGTATTTCTGTGTGTGTTGGAGATGTAACTGTTCTCAGAGCATTCTGTTCAATACGTATTCCTGAGAACTCCCTGACTGATTATGTATTTAGGTCTTTATGTCCTTATTTATTTTTAGTCCTTTTGACCTGTCTTAGACTGAGTATCTCCTATTATTATATTTCTGTGTGCTTCTCATTGCATCTTCTATAGATAGATTCTTCTTTATAAAGATGGTTGCCTTTTTTTTCCCTTTGGAATTTAGTAGGGTTTATATTTTTGTCCTATTGGTTGCCTTTGAACTTGCACATTTTTAATGCCCCTAGTCCCTGTTTCTTATTTAATCTTTTATTATCTTCTTGGTCAGCTTTTTTTTTTTTTTTTTTAAATGCACCCATTTTTTTTTTTTTTAAGATTTTATTATTTCCTTTTTCTCCCCAAAGCCCCCCGGTACATAGTTGTATATTCTTCGTTGTGGGTTCTTCTAGTTGTGGCATGTGGGACGCTGCCTCAGCGTGGTCTGATGAGCAGTGCCATGTCCGCGCCCAGGATTCGAACCAACGAAACACTGGGCTGCCCGCAGCAGAGAGCGCGAACTTAACCACTCGGCCACAGGGCCAGCCCCTTGGTCAGCTTTTAATGGTGTTCTTTGACTCCCAACTATTGCTTGAACTATACTCCATGAGCTTCTTCTCTTTCAGTTTTTCCATTTTTCCTATGTTTTTTAGTTGCATTATTTCTACTTTGTCATATAAAATATATATGTGTATATATATATTTTTACCCTTCCCCTACCTTTGTTTTACTCCTAGATCTGATAAGTGTATTAAATGCTCACCATCAATTCTCGCACTGAAGGTTTCCCCCAGTGATTTCTTGGTTGAATGAAACTCATCCTCCAGAAGACTCTTCAAAAAGAGCTGATGTAGACAGTATTCTCTGCATTCTTACATTTTTAAAACTGTTTTTTTTCATAGCCTTGAGACTTGAAGGACAGCTTGGCTGGATATGGGATCCTTGGTTCATACTTTAATTTCTGATTTAAGATGGTTTTCACATCCTCAGATACTTGACTGAGAACATTTAACTTACTTAGAGGTGTTGTTTTGTGGCTTTCTTCACTTTATGGTTTATTCTGGCAGGGGCATTTTCATAACATGATAGATTTTTTGTTCTTATTTTTTATTTTATAATTTTGTGTAGATTTAGGCTGCTTTTGTTAATTTTCATGGATTTGAAGTATTTACACAATTCCTAGTTTAAGAGGATCCTTTTCTGTTAGTGCAACCAAGTATACTTTCTTTTTACTTTTTTATTTTATTCTTTGGGGATGGGAGTGGGAGGAGTTGCGTGTCCTCCAATTTTTCGTTTCTCTTTTTTCTTACAGGACCTGAAATTTCCCCCTTTTTGCTTCCTTTTTCCAGTTTCTGAAGGATGTTCCTCCCTCTCCTTGCATCCTTTTCTCCCTGAAGCAATGTCTTTCAAAGACTGCCACCTCGGTTCACGCACACTCTAAGTCTCCACTCTCAGTACTGCGATTTACAAGGACTCTTCGCAGTATTTTATACTTCAAGTTGACATTCTTTCCAGCAATGGTTTCAGATCAATTCTTGGCTTCACTCTCACTTCCGTCTTCTCTCTTCTATGTGGTTTTTCCAGGGCTTCTGCCCAAAATGTGCCATACAGCCCTGCTGAGATTGGTATTAACTTCTTTTTACTTACAGGTGATTTGAAGATTATATAATTTTCTGTCTTCTAGTTATACGGAGAGCACGGGTTTTGTGTAGTTTTACTTCTTTTTCCTGCTGATCTGTATAGCTTTGTGGGTAGTTCTTTGCATTAATCTAGGCCACCTCTTTAGAGTGGTACTTGGGCAAACTAGAGAAAAGATGTTGTTTTCTGCAGCACTATAGTTATACTGGTGACGTAGAAAGACCTTAGAGAAAGAAATCTGGGCATTCTTTGCATGCTGTGCAAACCACCGAAAGACTGATTTATCTAGAGCATAGAACTTTTAGGGCAAAAAACAATCAAAGAATCAGATCCAGGCATTTGATTTGAAGAGTCTAATTGCATTCAAGTTTGTTTCTATACTGAGTCCAGGGACTATAACATAAAAATATCTTACTAAGCATTGCCTATTACATTAAAACTCTTTCAAATCCATCATTCACCAAGCAACCCTATAAGTAGTAAAAGTTTTATCACACCACTGTGCCCGCATTTGACAGATGAGGGACCAAGACAGAGAGACTCACTCACATGATTTCTGGTTACAGATTTGACTTGAGTAGAGCCAGGAGTAAAACGTAAGCCCCCTGACTGATCAAACAGCGCATTTCCAGCACCAACCAGGCCTCATCACAGAAGGGTTCACTAGTTTGATCCTCTTTCCAACTTTTTATTATTGTTCAATCATGAACAATATTATGTGCAATTATGAAACCTGAGGCCACTCCTTGATAACAAACTACTAGGGGAAAAAGCTTTTTTGTGTTATATTTCAAGTTGATTTGCTCTGTAAAAACAATGTAAGTTGCTCATCCAGTCAGTAGGAAATATTTTCTCCACTAATGATCCACCTTTGTCTCTCTCTTCACAGAGGACAATTATGGGACGGATGGGAAGGTTAATCTGCCCAGTTTCACTGCGGACGTCAACTGGCAAGGCCTGGAGGATTTATACAGTGTGAACGAAAGCATCTATGAGTACAGACAAAACTACAGACTTAGTCTGGTTGACTGGACTAATTACTTGAAGGATGTAGATAGAGTATTTGCACTGCTGAACAGTCACCATGAGCAAAATAAGACAAATAAGACTAAGACTGCTCAAAGTGATGGGTTTCTGGCTGTATCTGCTGAGCTCTCTGTGCCAGCAGAGATGTCCTCCGCTGAGTCAGATGAAGACCCAAGTCGTACGGTCTGGGAAGCACCTCATTTGACCTTGCCAGCTGACCTTCGAAGCCTGCGTTTGAACCAACCAACATTCAGTCCAGAGAGTAAACTTGAATGGAATAACAACATTCCCGAAGTTAGTCGTTTGAATTCTGAACACTGGAGAAATCATAAAACTGAGAAATGGATGGAGCATGAAGAGCTAAATCGTCTTGAAACTGATTTCAGTGGCAATGGCATGACAGAGCTGGTGCTCGAGCCCAGCCCCAGACTGCAGCCCATTAGCAGGCATGAGAAAGAACGTCCCCAGGAAGGAGGTCCAAGACGAGATGTTTTTGAAGATCAGCTGTATCTTCCTGTGCATCCGGATGCTGATTCTGCTCATCAGATGATCAGAGCATCCACCGTGGAGCAGCCTATTAACTCCAGCAGCATGGACAGGATGTTGAACAAGGTGGACAAGAATCACAAAAGGGGAGCCTACAGAGTCTAGAAGGCAGTGCCTCTTTTCCACTCTCCTCTGATTAGATGAAATTATTACTTTACCCTAAACACAGTATTTTTTTAACTTTTTATTAGTCAACTAATAAAGGCAGTCATGACAACCAACATTCCAAGCTACCCTAGGTACACACGTGCAGTAGAAGTTAGTACGCATGCGAGTGGTACGCACACAGGGATTTGGTGTTGGAATTCACTACTTGTCAAAAGTACAGAGAAAGGTGGATTTGTGGGGTCTTTGTTTGTTTGGGGGTACTACAACAGTATTATGTTTTGAAAGTTATAGGGACATGCATATATCAATGTTATCCAGTCAAGATGGCTAGAACTGTGCCTTTCTGAGTTTCTGAAACTTGACATCCTCAGTGAATTTTTCAATACACCTTCCACTGCCTGCATAATGTGGTTTCGATTCCTTTTTAACCACTGGAATTTTTCAACGCCACCATTTTTACTTCAGTGATTTTGCACTTTGAGATCAGAATGCCATGTCTATTTGGTTAGTCTTCTTTTTTTCTTTTTTTTACAGCCTTGTCACAGTCTCACTGCTTGCTCTCAGTGTGACACAGTAAAATAGACCGTCAAGGACGACACACAGTATGGATCACGTATTGTTTAACATACGCTTTTGCCAGAAAATATTGCATGTGTTTTACCTCGACTTGCTAAAATTGATTAGCAGAAAGGCATGGCTAATGATGTTGGCAGTAAAAATAAATACATAAACAAAACAAAGATTGCCTGCTGTCTCTGTGCCTAGCCTCAAAGTGTTCATCATATGCTTAAGATTGCTAAAGTTTCATTATTTTCTTAACAGGATAACAAGGACCGAAGACTTTTTCTTTTCATCTTTGTTTCGTTTTCTTGACCTAGCTAATAAGCTTAAGCGTTGAGAAAATATGTTTAGTTTTGAATTTACGTAAGGAGCTTTTCAATAAAACAAGCTCATGAATGTTTCATAATTTAAACACACCATATGTGTTGTATGATTATTTTTAAGGCCTTCACCAAGTTCTGATTTTTCTAAGGCATACTTCAAACCTACTTTGGAAATTCTGTGTTCTTGAAAATATTCTTGTTATGTATTAGATTTCTAAATACCAGCAAAAGGATTACCTCATTGAGAGTTATCAGTACCCTAGTCAGCCTCCCAAGAAGTTTTTTTTTTTTTTTGAGCTTAACAGTGATTTTCTTTTTCTTTTTAGAATATTCAAACGCTTAGGTAAATTATGTTTTCTTTAAGTGTTTAAGGTAAACTCTTTTAAAGAAAATTTAATATGTTATAGTTGAATCTTTGATAACTTTAAGTCTTTACCACAGACTCTGTACATATGTTAAAATTAACTAGCTCTTTATCAGATGTGTGTGTCACCGGCTGAATGACAGACAAAACATATTTATGGTCATGAATGATGTGCTTTGTAAAAAAGTTTCAGGTTATTAGGAAGCATACTGTGTGTTTTTCTAATCTTGTGTAATATTCTGTGATACTTTTATAGAACAATTCTGGCTTCAGGAAAGTCTAGAAGCAATATTTCTTGAAATAAAAGGTGTTTAAACTTTACCTGTTTCAGAGAAATGAACTTAACCAAGTTTTTGTGGTACACCTATTCCTTGCAAGTAAACTTGAGTCCTGATCTTAATTTACATGATTAAATATTAGCCATAATTATAAAATTGACCCAAAGTCAGCGTGTTCTAGAACATTCTCAGATTAATGATTTCAACATGGATTTGCCTGGATGCTGCAGGGAAGATGTGGCAGAGTGGGCATCAGGATGGCTTCCCAAGCTTGCAACCTAGGCTGTTGCACGGGGCCAGTGTTTGGTTTAATTCTCTACTAGCACCATCTTGAAATCCTTAATAATTTTTGAACAAAGGACCCCACATTTTTATTTTTCACTGAACCCACAGTTACGTTGCTGGTCTTGGGCAGCACAAATGGAGATTTTCAAAAGCAAGAGGACAGACCCACCAAAGGTAGTTTGTATTCTTTGGGGACCATGAACACTGGTGGAGACCTAACCACCTTCCAAGACCTCAAGTTTTCTAATTGACAAATTCCATACACTTCCTCCTGCCCGTCATCACTGAGGAGATTTCTCTCCTTCAGGTAGAGGGACTACTAATCTGTGAAATGTCCAGACATCAGAAGTTTAATAATAAAGAAGAAAAAAACAAAGGACTTTGGGATCTGCCAATTCAATTCTTGGATAACTGAGGAAACATCTCTATTAGTTTGCTAAGGCTGCCATAACAAGTACCACAGACGGGGTGGCTTAAACAACAAAAACTTATTTCCTCACAGTTCTGGAGGCTGGAAGTCCAAGACTGAGGCGCCCGCAGATTTGGTTTCTCCTGAGGCCTCTCTCCTTGGCTTGAAGATGGCCATCTTCTTGCTGTGTCCTCACCTGGCCTCCCTGGTGTCTATTCTTCTTATAAGGACACCCGTCATGTTGGATTGACCCACCCTTCTCCAGATCATCATTGTGCCTTCCTCCTTGTCCCTTCCCTATAGAGTAGGCCAAATATTGCCGTCCTGGAGAAAATTCCATCTTAGTTCAATTCAGTAACTATTTATGGAGTACCTACTATGTGTAAAAGGCACGAAAGAGACTATTCCAGATCTTGAAGGGCCTTAGAGCCTCATGTGATCTGTGAGGAAGCTGACGCTCAGAAGGACTGAGCCGGTTCCCATCCACCCATTCCCCACAGATTCAGTAGAGGAAGGGATTTAGCTGAGGTGAGGCCCAACCCCTCTTCACTTTCTCCATTTCAACACACATGCGCACACGCATGCACACACGCGCATACACAAACACACCAGGTAGGGACAAGAGAGGCCACAGTGGAACCCTGTTCATAAGGAGTAATGGAAAGAACAATGGACATAAAATTGAAGAAGACCTAACTTCCCTGCAAACTCCAGTTTTTACTATCTGTGTGAGCCTGGAAAAGTCGCATAACCTCCCCACAGCAGCTTCCTCGACTGTAAAATAAGAGGTTTGAATCAGGGATGACAAATACATAGCATATGTGCTTTCTTTTCCCAAAATGTGCCCAGGAGAGACATTGCTAATTCATCTGGACGCTTCTCCGTTAAGCCACAGCATCTGTGCCCTTAGAATCCTTCTCAACGCAGCAGCTTCCATCAATACTGTTGATTTGTGTTGACGCACGAGACAAAAACCCGTTTGCCATACCCAAACTAGGCAATATCTGAGGCTCCTCCTAGCCTTCTGTTAAAAAAAAAAAACCTATGATCATCAGCATCCACAGGGTGTTTTGGTTAAGCGGGAGGTGTCAGTACTTACCGCTCCCACCCCATGCCAAACATACCTAAACATGTCGACTTTCTAAAAGATTTTTAAATGCTTATTTTTCAGGCCTTGCTTTAGAGCCGGTATTATCTCAGATATAAGAAGGTCTTCAACTCCCCAAATTAATCCAATTCTGCTTGAGATTTTCAAAATTTATTTTGAGAGAAAACAAAGATCTTAGTTGATAATCAAAATATCTAGGGCAATTAATACCTTGACATAGTCGGCCACCCTGTTCATTTCAACCCTCGTGACTTCTTCTAGAAGCTGCTGTGAAAGCTGTAACAGGCCCCTAAGCCCCTTTCCCACCTCCAGCCCCTCCTGTGTCTAATACATCCCACGCTCACCACCAGGTGAGTCTTTCAGTGCTGTGGCTCAGCTCGCAGCCTCCTGCTGAGAAATCCTCGACGATCTTTAATGCCCTCTGTGCAGCTCTAGCCTTCCATCCACCCACCTGCTCCCCCTCCACCTCGCCTGTCACCACCAGCTTCCCCTGGATTTGTGCCACCTGCTCAGGTCTCAATTTTTCTCTAGCTTTCCATCCACCCTCCTGGGGTATGTTGCCATTCCTCACCTCATTCTTCACTCCCATATGGTTTCAAATTGTACCTTTTCCTTCCATGTAAACTTTCCTGGACTCTCTGACTCCTGGATATAATCTCTCGTCCCTTTATGCTCTCCCCCAAGTAAGAAAATATTGATGTTGTACCAAGTCTGGGGCCAACGGAGGAGAATAACTCGCCACATTTATAACCTTGTTCCTTCCCCATTTCTGACCAAGAAACTTATCTAATGTGACTGTTGCTCGCATTGGTCTAGTCCGCTCACCTTCTAAGTTGTGTTGTTGACCTTGGGGACCTCACCGGCAGAGTATCTTGTGCTTTATAGTGAGCCCACTGCTGTATGAAGCAGAGAGAAGGACTTTCAACAATCAGATTTTTTTCCTGGTGGGACTAGGCAGTCCCCAGTTCCCTGGTGTTAGGGAAAGCACTGCAGAGGGTTGGGGGACAAAGGGAGCTACAAAGGTTGAGGTCTTTTGTGCTCAGCATTGCCTCGCTTTTCTGCTGGCAAATGGAAGTGGTGAACAAAGGCATCTACTGCTGTTCTTACCTTCTAGTCCCCAAACCCGTGGGCCTCCCAGGACTCCGAAGTTCAGAATGTGCATCCTCTCCCCCCACACCTCTCCCCCTATATTACTCCATCTCCCAGACCCAACAATGCAGGTGACCCAGAGCAGAGCGGAACCAATCCAACCATTAATAGGTCTCAGCAGGAGAGGAGAGGTCGTGGAACTTGCCACCCTAATACCTATCTGGTCACACACCGCTCAACCCAAGACCCGGAAGGGCCGAGGGATTAGTAGAGCATGTGTTTCCCACAATGGCCATTAGGTGGCGCTCTAGTGCAACTAAAGACGTGTTTGCTGGGAGCCAGAACCTGGCCGCTGGCAAAGCTGCCATTTACATTGATTTCTAAAGTAGCAGCACTACCATCTCGACAGGACACATCTAGAACGAGTTGATCCACGGCACGCTTGCTCTTTCTTCCGTGCCTAGCATCTTAGCCATCGCAGCAGGCCAACGACCGGTTTCAGCTTTCTACTGATTTATATCGGTTTTAGGAGTTGGAACTGCATCAAAGTTTGATGTTTAGATTCAAAAATGAGCACCGAATATCGATCTCCTTGCTTTCCAATGACTTTGTGCAATTAAAAATGTTTTTTGGCTCCCACACGCCGAAGCTACAGAGGCCGTCTCTGCCCAGCTGGCAATTTTAAAAACAAGAAAGGAACTGAAGGCTTTTTAACAGCTCTTAAAATGCTGAGGTTGTACCAAGTATGGGGCTAAAGGAAGGAAGATGAGGGGCCACGTTCATAACCTTTCCACTCTCCTTATTTCTTAAAGAGAAATTCTTAAAGAGAAACTTTTTCTCTTTAAGAAATTTCGCGTGTCTGTTTCGAAAAGCACAATACCCAGAATGGCTCAGACTCTTCCTTGAAAGTGTGAGATATTTAAGAGATTCAAGAGAAAGTCTATTGCCTAAATTACACACATAATTGAGGAGAAGATGGTAGATTTGGGCAGGGGTTACTATTTGCTCTTTGCATAGATGGCTCCCTTGATAAATGCACAAAGACCGCGGAGGAAAATAAGGGTTTACCCAGAAGTCAGCACAGACACACGCCCTCCTTCCAATAATGCATGTACCTTGGGCCACGGTGACCCTTTAGTTTAGGTGTGCAACGGGGTGAGGCGTGCGAAATGGAAATCAATTGCCCTGCTTTCCACCTCAAGGCGGGGTTCTAAATATAACCGCTCTGCTTCAGCCGGTGAGTCATGCTGTTATTTCCATGCCTCCTTTACCTCCTTCCGCCCCTCACTGGAAAGTTTGAGATGCCAGCGTACTCAGAAAACTGCCGTCCGTCAAAAGAGACCTCAAACGCCAGCGCTTTTTCTCCATGGATGGAGTCTGGGCACAAGTTCTCCCCCAGTCTCAAACAGCTCCTGGGCCCCTTCAGCAACAATTAGTTTGCTATTCAGTGTAAACTGGGGAAAGGGAGCATTTAATGCTTTGTTGACCAAGCTTTGATACTTACTCCTTTGGAAATCATTCTTTTTTCTGCTTGAGACATTCCCTTTGTTTACCAGTTTTTAGAATAGTGAGTTGGGCTCCTTGGGAAATCAGCCTTAACCTATCAGGGTCAACTGTGTGGCAAAGAACAATACCCACCAAATGCTCACCATTGGCTTCCCCTACACTTCCAGGACCCCAGCAGTCTGGCAGGGATGTGGATCTGGTTCAGACTAATGCAGTGGGACACATGTCACTTCCAGGCTGAGAAAGAGATAAGCCCCTTTGCCTTTCCCTGGGCTCTTCCTTTCCTTGCCTCAGCAACCAGGACTAACCCTGAAAGTTCCAGATGGTGCAGCCTCAACATGGTGGAGCCTCTGTGAGGCTGGGTCCCTGAGGGACTCTGTGGAACAGACTCATATAGACACGTCATGGAAATGAGAAATAAACCTTTGTGCGATGAAGCCGCTGAGATTTGAGGATTAGCATGTTGTTGAAGCATAACTTAGCTGATCCTGACTAACACAAACCATATTCAAGGCACATACTTCTGTAATCCCAAAGTCTGTTTGAACTTAGATTGATAAGTGGTAACTACTTAAAATTATTCTCTTTGGTGACTCAGTGGAAAGTGTGCTACTTACTGCAGGCTCCTAAAACTACAGTCCTAATAGCTTACATACAGATAGGACATTCGTCTTCTCTAGGAGTTCATTACTGCCATCTTTCAGAGTAAGTGGTGGGCCATTTAATCTAATCAAACCCCCGTGTCTTCATTTTGGGAAGGATGGGAGATCACGTTGGCATCATTGCTTCATCTCTTCAAACAACAAAAATCCTGAGACACACTAATTTCAATCCAACACACTTTATTCTTTTTTTTTTTTTACTTTTTTCCTTAATTTTCAATGATCAAGTATTCAAGATGATGTAAACCAAGGTTTATTAGTACATTGACAATAGATTTCATCAAACACAAGGAAATGATACATCTTTTAAATTACCCTAAGAGGTCTCCAAATAAATATTCATTTTAAAAAATCACAAAATCAAACTCCTTTATGCAACAATTCAAAACAGTCTTTCATCACAAGCACACCTCTACATACAGAAACACACACGCGGAACACACACACTCCACTAGGATCCTAACGACGATTGATTTGACACAGTATTACATTTCCTTTTAACAAAAGAGTTAAGAGGCTCGCCTGCCTGATTCGTGCTTCTAAATTAACCTTTGGGGTTTGGGTTAGAGGTATGTATTTTAAGAAAAATGCCCACTATAAAGTCTTACCAATTATTCTTATTTTTCATTTCTAGATACAAACTTTAAACTTCTTTTGTTCACCCCTTTGGTTTAATATGTCCCTGCAATTACCTTAGTTTTCTATAATATCTTCTTCTTGGATTTTAACATGTAATAGTAGAATGGCAGAAGACGACGACACCTTCAAACCCCAATATTAAAAACACCTGACATGGCGTAAGTTTTTTGGAGAAGAAATATGAAAAGATTATCTGAAATATTTTCCCCCCTCTCTCTGAAATTATTTTCAGCATCTGATTATTCTTGCTAAAATAAATATCAAAAGCGCTGAGTTTTCCATAGAAAAAGTATTCCCCCTTACGCTCTTCATTTTTGTGTGTAAAGTTCTTGTATTCACTATTGTAATGAGAGTAATGAGTGCCTGTTTTCTGGGTTTTCTTTACATTTCCAAAAGCAAAGCACATGCAGTCCTTTATCAGTGAAATACTGTGAATTCAGTGGCACATTTTTGTGGTTGAGCATGCATCATCAAATACTTTTAGCACCGAGGCTTTTTTTTTTTTTTTAATGTTGCAAAAGCAAATACCCAGGGAGGGTCTTCATCATACTTGACCCTTCCTAGGGCTGAGTAAAAATGAAGTGCTTAAAATAACCTCTTCAAACATACACAGATCTGATTCCAATATAGCAACAGGTCTGAGACAGATACAGCCAGCAGCATCCCAGAAGATGAGGAAAGAAGAGAAGACAGAAAAGATAAAGGGCACAAGGCCACTAACTTCACCTGCCAGCCACAGCACTCCCTTCGGTACTATGAAAGAAGAAATGCGAAAACGTGTAAAGGCTACCTACTGGTCTGTATAACAGAGAATTAGCAGACCTGCTGTCTAGGCGATTCTGGGCTTATACAGTAATTTGATATCTATCTGCTACTTAGAATACTCAGTACGCACCTATATATCAATAGTTATATTCATGTTTCTGCGCCATTTAGGATGTTTTAAGTACACACAAAGTGACAAAGTATAATTGGCTACCACTCCAGACTTGGGCTCTCCCACTGCTCCCAGGCACACCAGAAAATTTCCACAAATGCTTCAGGTCCATTCAAACTATGAAGCTTCTGTTTGGGGCATCTATGGTTGATGCAAAATAGGCCCCAAAAAGAAATTTTCTGGCTCCAAATCTACCACAGAACGCAAGCTGGAATTGGAGACTGAGGAAGAATTTGCTCCATGGTTGGTGAAAATGTAGGACTGCCATTACTTCTGGCTCTGATGGCTGAAATTTACAAGTGTACGCTCCAGTCTCTTACAGCAGCTACTAGCGGTAACAATCGGGTCGCTGGTTCGGTATGTAACTTATAACATTTTGCATCTGTTCATTTAACATGTAACACTTTGTATATGTTCACTTAAAATTTTTATTAGGAAACTTAAAACCGATATTCACCAAAATTGAAATGTTAACATTCTGAAAGAGGAAAAAAAAAAAGCATGCATTTGAAATCCCCAAAGCTCAGATTCAATCAATCTGAACTACTTTTCCTCATCTGCTTCATTCCAGAAACTCTACTAAGACTCAATGTCAACACCAAAATTGGATTTGTTCTATATTAAATATGAACTATAAATAAATACTTGAGGTATATTATGACAAACAATTCTGAATACAACACTTAGCTAAATAAACGTAAATTTCCTTGAAAAGCTAAACATTAAATTTTGATGTTTCCTCGAGATTTTTTTCTATTTTACAAAGAAATAGTAACTTTTCTACTCTTCAGAAACAGTAACACATCAAAAAAATGAAATGCCTTACCGCGCTTAGTCATAGCTTGCCTTTGTTAACCAAAACTATCATCTGCGTCATGTAGTGTAAGAAGTGGGCCATGGAGATGAGAAACCTGCGTCTGAACCCTGATTGGCTGCTCTGTGCAATCCAAAGCAAGTTACTTTACCTCTCTGAGCTTCAGTTTTCATCATCTGATCTTAAAAACCAAATAAAAATAGTTATCTTGCAAAGCTATTGAGAGGATTAAAATGAATGGTGTATATTAAGCGCTTGACAAAATGTTCTGCAAATAGTCAACACAACAAATGCTACTTTGTTACCTCTCTGCTCCTCCTTTCTTCCCCCCACCTTAGTTCTGAATGACTCTAGACTGTTTTCAAGAATGAAATCCACCTACAAAGGATGAAGATTTCATGCTAATGAAGATAACCAAAAGAACCCACCACCCACCCCACCCCTGGGAGTGTCTAAATTAATAGGCTAGACTCAAGGACATTATATTTGCATATTAAAGCCAAATAATACATGAATCTACAGAGTTTATAGAGGAATAAAATGACCCTTCCTCAAACCAAGTAATTAGAAGCCTAAACTCATGGAGAGTGACAACTCAACTTATAATAGGAGCTGTGACTATCAAGTAACATGACTAATTTATTAACAAACATATAAGAACCTCATATATACAATTAAATGGTGTCGTCTATAAAAAAGTCACTTTAGTTGACTGTGTAACACTCCAATGATGCTACCAGAGCCCAAAGCAATTTGGGGACAACTCTTAACTGGTACTTATTCTGAAACTTCAGTCCCCCATGATCTGTGCTACTCATTCTACATTCACCAACACGTTAATGATCTCCCTGCTAGTTACAGGTATCGGATAGTTGAGAAAGTACAATATTAACATTGTGGTGCACAATTCAGGCCGATTTCTTTGAATTCTGGCCTACTCAACTCAAAGGATTTCAGAGTGGCAGATGGTAATTGGGTAAAATGGTGACTGAGAGAGAACTGGCGCCCGGCCAATGACTGCTGAACTGGGTGACTGTTCAAGGTAGAGAAAGGGATGGGCTCTCTATTCACACCGGATGAGCCCATCATTTCCTATGCTGGAGTTCCGAGAGAGGATCCTTTTCAAAATGTACTACCAAGAAGAGAGAAATTCTAAGAATGTTGGAACACACAATCTTAGCGATGAAAAAAAACAGCCAGACACAGCCTGGTGCATAGCCGTTAAGTTTGTGCACTCGGCTTCAGAGGCCCGTGGTTCACCGGTTCGGATCCCGGGTGCAGACCTACATACCACTTGGCAAGCCATGCTGTGGCAGGAGCCCCACATATAAAGTCAAGGAAGATGGGCACAGATGTTACCTCAGGGCCAGTCTTCCTCAGCAAAAAGAGGAGGCTTGGCTGTGGATATTAGCTCAGGGCTAATCTTCCTAAAAAATAAAAGTGCCAATCCCACTGAAATTCTCTCAATGCAGTTTCTTAATGATCAGAGGAAAATTAAGAAAATATCACCTCTCCCAAGCCTACATATCTTTAGTTCCAACACAAAAGGAAACTTTCTCTTCTAAAGGATCAAAGATGTCCCATAAAGGGAACAGGGGAACCCTGAGGCCCAGAGTCGACACTAGGTTAATCAGCAATATTCTCTGAAGACCTTCGATATACACCACGTTGACCAAAGTTTGAGAGACACTAGTGTAATTACAGGCAACACTGGTTCTTAGGACTTAGCCAAACAAGACTGCTCAAGGCGAAGTCCTCGTCACCTGAGACCACTGGCTCCACCCCTTGTAGACATGATTCAGTCTAATAGTAATAACTCTCTCCACAAACTACACGCAACCAAGGGAATCATTTGGCCAATGTCATTCTTGGGTAGAGAGGAAAACAACTTTGTACCCAGGAATATTCACGAAACTCCACCAGTACAGCCAAGGATAAGAGGGCAAAACCCTGAATCAAGGAGCAGTTCCGTCAATCACATCCCCTCTGTGAAAGAGTGTAAACCAGCCAAGGAAACCAATTCCCAAATTTGCCCTACAGAAACATAGGCTTCTTGGCAGAAACAGTTCACAATTATATGGGTACTTGGACCTCACAGGCCCTCCTAAATCTGAACTGTGATGATGCTCTTTCTGAGCAGCCAGAGCCCATGAGTTAACCTACGATCAGTCCATCGTGCTGTCAGGAGGCGTCTACTGTAAGAACCATGTAGAAAGCATGCCGTGTGGCGTCTAAGTCAAAGTGATGTGCTGGGCGGAACTGGAAAGGATGATGGATAAAGAACCCAAAGTGCATTTAGGAACAGAAAAATCCCCACTCAGAATCAGTTCAGGAAGTTTCCAGTAGGAAGGAACCAAAGAGAGGTGTAAAATGATTCTAACTCTGAGAAACTAGGATGCAGTAGGACAGACCAGCTCATTTTAAATAATTTTCAATCAGGACTTACGCTCATATTCTCGATCCAGCTCACACATCTCCCTCCTCCTGTACTCAAAGCGATTTTCCTATCACAGGTCTAGCCCTTCTGATTTAATGACTCAATTTCAGGAGCAACCACAGCAATTTTCTATACACAAAAAAGAAAACTAGACAGATTTGCTAGTGCTTCTAGATATATAACTAAAATGAGCAGGTGGGACTCAATCTGACTTTTGTAGAATTTCTTTTTCCAACTATTTTGAGTGTCAACGTCGCAATTCTTAACTACCCTTAGGTGGGCCCTTAAAAGCTAAAATAATTTCTGCAGCAATTTTCTTTGGATGAGAAAGCCATCAGTTTCTTTCCTTATTACGCATCTCAAATTATATTTTCTAGCCATATTATTTAGCACACTAGTTCTAAAGCTCCTCACAGAAGAATAGTGGAGTTTATATTCAAGCTATCAGATATATGTTTCAGCAGCCTCTTTCACTACCCTACGATGGGGCAGACAGACTAAAAGAGAATGAGTTCTGTGAAATGAAGCCGCTATTCCTTTTATCAGGCTATGCATATGGTTCCTTTGAAGCATCTGAAAAATTCTACCTGATTTATAACTCTGCTATGGCTTAAAATGCTATTAACAGTACTTTGGGGAAAGTTCAGCTTCCTCTTTTCAAAAACATATCTGCTTTAGTTTCTGAAAGCCAAACTAACGTGCTGCACTTCCATTTTCCCAATCAGATTGCATAGTTGAGGCAAATTCATTTGTGCTTTGTTGCAGAACTCACAGTAGGTGTTCATACCTAAAAACTTTGATCTGTAAATGCAAAGTCATGGTGAAGGTCACCTTTGTTGGAGTGTATGCTAATGCTAGGCACCACCATTGCGCTTCTCATGATTTTGTTAACCATGGACCTCAGCCTGATACCGCACTGGAGCATGAGCATTAAATGAACATAGCAGAAATGGTAACAAATCGAAACACCTCCTTCCTGGAGAGAAGCGGGGAAAAGGCTCTCAGTCTTGTTGAGGTATCCAGCCCACAGTCAACAGTGGCTGTGTATACTGAGTTTTGTCGGTTTGAGGATTGTGTCTTTAGAGGTTAAAAAAAGAAAGAAAAGAAGGCACGAGTGTTTCTCAAGTCGCCGTATTCAACTCAACCAACAAAACCAAAGTCTTCCATTTTCAAGCTTCAAGACGGATGCTACATGGCAGCAGGGCTTTCTTCCAGCCCTGGGTCTGGGGAGGGACTTATTGCTTCTGGGAAGGGTCCCGGGTAGGTCTGTGCTGTGTATTGGGTCCCCTTTTGCAGCCCAGTCTCTTCGTGGAATTCTCCCTGGGTGCTGATTGCTGGGCAAGATCTAGTCCGGGCGTACTTCTCGGCGGCGGTGTCGGGGCGGCCGACCATCTCGCTCACAGTGCTCAGCGGGAATTCTCGCCACCTCCGCCTCTGCAGTTCGTCCTCCTTGTATTTAATGGAGTACCAGGCCAGAAAAATAAAAACGAAGCCGACAAATTTGAGGCCGGCCGCCAAACCGAAATAGACAAAACGAAATGAGGTCACGTTGTACTCCCAGCAGGAGCCTTGTACGCCACATTCGTGTTGCCAGAGCATGCAAGTGGTATCGATAACTGCTCCGAAGTAAATCGGGGTAGGAATGTACGCTAGAGTTGTAGAGAAAAAGAAAAGAAAAATATTTAGCACGTCTTCTAAGAGAAAACAGATTTGTAAATTCTCAAGGTGGTTGTGGCTCTGAAATCAGTTGAGGGGAGTGGTTTTCTTGTGTTGCCTGATTTTTTAAAACATACGTCACACCTTATCATAGTAAATTTATTATAAAAATGTTCACTAAATTGTAAATACTTTAAATCTTCCAGTTTGCAACTCAGAATATATTAATGATTTTCAGGATCATGAAAATGTCTATTGCTAAAAATGCAATTAGGGAATATTTCTAAATTTAAAAATCAGATTCTGTCATTAAATATTCAAGAGGCTACACTAGAACCCTTCTCGATCCACTAAAATTCAGTACACTTAGCTCTTGTGGGTTGTGTTCTAGTCCTTGGATGCAGGAAGAGTCTAAGGAAAGCATTGTCCCCTAGAAGTCAAAAAACACATCAAATAGTAACTTCCTAAAGGCACCTGGAGTATGGAAATGATTATGGCATAAAATTTGTCTTTGAAGCTTACAAACCATCTGTGATGAGTAGGAACTTCCTTGTTTGGGCCATGATGTAGACATTCCTTTACTCTCATAGGAAAGAAAGTCTACCCACATAGACTTCCTTCATCGCATGTTACTACCTTTGCGGAAATTGGTCCCCATCCCCAACTTGTTCACCTTGCAAAATTCTACCCCTCCTTTAAACTCCTGACTCACTCAGATGCTACTGTATTCCCAGTGCATTTTGTAGATAGCTCCATTTTATCAACTATCACATACTATTTAAATTGTACGCAAATCTGTCACCCATAAGCTCCTTGATGGCAGAGGCCATGCCTTTTATTCTTTACATCCCAAGGACCATACTCTGGTTTCTCTTCGGATCGTATAAATCTTTCACCTTTTACATCCCAAGGACCTATCTGGACAGCCCATGGATGCCAAATAAGAGTTTCCAGAAGGAAGTGATGGGAAGGTGGGAGTGAGGGAGGAAAAGAGAGAGGACAGGTGGGCTAACAGCCAGGAGGCTGTGAGCGATACATTTTTAAATGTGTTGTATTCATTTAAAATGAGGTATATTCACTACAATTAAAATGCAACATTATTAAAATACTGAAAACTGTCTTTTTGCTTTGGAATTTGGGGAAAGGGAAGTTGGCTGTTGCCCTGACTATACTTTTCCATAATCAATAGAACTTAAGGTTGAATTAAATAACAAATGCCTGAAATCTTCTCCCTCCACTTATTCCTGATGCAGCAGCGTCCATCCATCTGTTGACTTACCTTGACCTCTGCATCCATATCAAATCACCCCAACTCCCTGGCATCAAAGATATGCCAAGAAAAGGGAGAAACTATTATTTTCTTTTCCTATCAACTACCCCTTTTCAACAAATTTCCTTTCTTGAAAATAACTTTTTAGTTTCCAAGGAGAAACATAATGCAAACTTCTTAACTATAGCAGTTTGTCAGAATTTCCTTTAACCAGCATCCTTTGAAAAATGGTACCTTCAAAGTCTTATTGGTACCAGAAAACAAACCACTCACATTCAATGCAACTCGAAGCCTCGGCGGCTCACTGGAAAGTGTTCATTCTTGGACTGAGGCACTGACCACAACATATGACAAAATGAGAATTCCAGAGGATGAATGTTTCAAAGAGTCAGATGATACCATTTTAAAATGTGCTACCCTTTGAAACAGAATTGGAAATGTGAATCAAAAATCTAATTTTTTTGACCTGTGGAGAATGACACTGATTATTGGGGGAAATAACAGCTGACGGAAATGACAGACTGCCACTTAAGAAAGAAAAAATAAGCTAGCTGATGAGGAAGTCATTAAAAATACACTGAAATTGATCAAGGCAATGGGCTACCTCACACGACACTTCCCGTGCATTGTCCCAGGACATCACAGGGTGACCCAGTGTTTGTAAAAATCAGGAGGATGTTCTTCATGCCCCAGTGAGTTCGGTGACTAACCAACCACACTGACCTAGTGCTAATGAGCTTCTCTTGTTATAAATAAACGGTGGTCCCTACATGTCAATTTCGGGATCTTTCGTTTTTCTTTTTGGAATTTCTTATTTCTTTTCCTCAGAAGACTTGATAGATCTCCTCTTTGCCCAGTCCAATCAAATTACTTGAAAGAAGTAAGAAATTGACATTTTCACAAATAACTGAGCAGCAGCAATTCCCATCACTTTCATGTTAAAAAGGCATCAGGGGACAAAGACGCCAGGATCATAAACCCATTCCAATTGCTTGGTTCAATGTTTCTTACTGTACAAAACTCTCTGGGGGATTTAGCCAAAGTTACGTTCAGAGTGAAAAGAAACGGCTCTAAAGTCAGTTTGGGTTTGTTTCATCAAATGACAGAACTGGTTGGCTTTCAGTTCAAATCAGAAAATAAGGAAGTTGTGGTCTTGCCCCACCCCGTAAAATCCCAGCTTCTGCTGATGGTAACAAACCACCTGCCATTTTTAAGGGACAATGAGAATCTGCCGTCTGCAAAGAGGAACTGAGAGGCGTGTTGGAAATTCAGGACCTACCAAGTGTTCGCAGCAGAACAAACTGCATCCCCAGTGCAAAGGGTCTCTCCTCATCCTCGACAGACCTGCGGTGGAGGGAAAGCAAAGAGTGTCTTCACACAGTGGCCTCGAGAAAATGAACGTCCAGTCAAGCCTGCTTAACACAGAGCCAGGGACCATAGAGATGCTGTGCCAAAATATTTAATTTGCTGCAATTTACGAACAATGGCCAGGCAAGACGGCTGATGGCTAAAGCAGAGAATAAAGGTCTTCCCCATGAAGACGCCAAAGAAACTCCGATTAACTCTAATGGCTTCTGTGTAAATACTGGGGGAGGGCCAAGTTCATGGCTGAAGGGACAGAACTGGCTCTAAATGAGCTTCCGAAATTAATTCTGTTATCAAAAATATATAGCATTTTATCCTAACTACTTCATTCTGTTTCTCTATTTGCCTGGACCTCCCAGAATGGTAGATATGTATACTGAAAGTTGCTCCCATAATTTCTCAAGGAAAAGTATACATAAAAAAAGTTAAAAAAAATAAAGTATCGTCAAAAAACATATAGGAAACAAGTCAAAAGTTAGAGAAAGAATGAATCCCTTCCAGACACCTCCTTTTTTCTTCTTTTCCTAAAATATATGCTCTAAGCGATTCTCTCATGGCAGGAAGAATGGAGTCTATTGATTTTGTAATTAGCAAAGATTAAAGGGCTCTTTCTCTGAAGTTTTGGGTTAGAAGCCAACTGGTGATTTGCCATATTTGTCTGGGTTATTTAACATCTCTTGTAGAATTACAGTTCAAAGAATTAAGATTATTAATGATTCATATTTTTTTTAATGAGGAAGGCCCTTATCCTTTCTATCCCATACACATAGGGTTCTAGGTGTACAATGTACAATTCCCAAGGACCAGTGCACTTGTCATCTTTTCCCCAATTTCTTTATTTTCTCAGCAGTTTGCCCAATGCTGCATGCAGAGTTGTTACTCCCTAAGTATCTGCTGATGGAGGAATTGAGTGACTAGACCAATGGGCCTTTCATGTCCTCTTGTCTTACTGTCAAGTAACGAATTGGTTGGGGAATGTCTAACACGGCATTCCATGGAAGGGAAGCCAGAATATGGAGAATAAGCAGGCCAGCAGCCCAACTGCCCCGCTAAGAATGACATCTCAGCAGGTGCGTCCCACCAGGAGCCCAGCATTGCAGGGGACTGAGGACCCAGGGAGGAGATAAAAGACAGTAAGGCCGCACTCCCTCTCCTCACTCCTTCATTGCCCTGCACTCCAGTCCCCCCAGAGCTGCTGTGGGTGTGCTCTCGTTTCTTCACCACGCTGTCCCCTTCCTTCCTTTGTCCACTGCAGCCTTTCCTGCAAATACAGCACACTGATTTGAATGTGCTGGTGTCCACATTTTTTACAGGACTTCCATTAAGGTAACTTCTGTGTTCTCTTATAAGCAAAAAAAAACATAGACAGGATATATAATATGGCAAAGAAAGCCCAGCATGGACAACCGAAGAATTACATTTCCCAGTCTGCCCTTTCCTTGACTCAACTCTGAAATTTTATATGATAGTAAAATTAGTGAAATCAGCATTTTGAACTGCAGGCCCAGCACAGACTGTCACTGATCCTGGAGTATTAACTATCCACAAGGTTGGAGATAATATTCTTCGCTGTGTGCACAATTTAGCAACTTCACCAAATGACTTGCTGTCTCCTCTGGGGCCAGGATTCTTGCAGCTGACATGGGCACGGCTTTCAGCTCCTGAAGGTGAATCTTTCAGGGCAGAGACTTCAGGAACCAAAGGCACCCAAAAGAATTTTCACTAAACTCTAGGAATAGAACCCATTTGAATAAAGAAAGTTCTGGAACGTGAAATGTCACAATCATCCCTTCCCTTCCTGACATGGGAAAACTCACTTCTCTTAAGTTCATCAGGCAAACGTCTGAGCACTTTCCAGCACAATCTAATTTTGCTTTCCTCTCTGCTTTACCACCTCAGTTCCAGTCTGGAATATGTATTCTGGCAATTGTCTGATTATAACTCACCCTCGAAGTTGAATGCTGTTCTCACCTGAGTGTTACTATGATGGCTGATGGCTGGGCACATGCTGTGATGAAGGTGACTATGAAAAGAAAAATCAAGAATGGGATGAGGGTATTACAGGTCCGTTTACACTTCCCGGACACAGCATAGCCATTCTCGTTGAGATATGTTTTGACAATAACCACGCGGAGCTGACTGCGCTGTCCCACTGTGGGTGGCGTGATCACTTGCCGGCTTTGGACACAGGTGCATTCTGTGTAATTTCTTATCTAAGTGATAATAAAGATCAGTTGTATGCCAATCAAAAGCAAAATTCAGCATAGGAATAGCAAAACAAAGTTAAAATGCTCTAAAATAACTCTAGCATTTAAAAGTCCACAGAATATTTAATTGCAAATATCTTCCCCATTATTAACAGTAAGGGTCCAAAGTGTGCATGGAACAATATCAAAATCTGCTGGTCAAAATTGTTTAAACCTAGACTTTTATAAGAAGCTTTCAACACAATTCTATAGCATTCAGATTCCATATGCTCATTTTTGGTCATAATTATACGCTGCTTCAATTGCTGTTTAATTCTTGGGCTCTCCTATTAGAGAAGGCCATCAAGAAACAGTAGCCAAGACTTATTTCCGTTTGTTCCCACCGGAGCACCTAGCAGACTCCTGAACACAGCATAGGACCTCAAGTAAATATCTGTTAAATAAATGCAGAGAATTCATGATGCAACCGTAATGACTTTAATGCCAACAATAGCGAACCTATCCTTGGCTGTCTCATTTAAGTCAGGGGACTAAAAAGGTGTTTCAAATGAAACAGCCAATTAACCTTTTATGCCTATTACATTGCTTTTACTGAATGGACATCAGCTGAACTCACTGTCATTGCGACCTCTCGGCCACTTAGGCAGTAAGAACAAATATGAAGATAGGGGCACCATTTGGCCATCTCTGCTCCAAGGACTCCTGGCCTCTTTTTAAGAAGAAGGAGGGCTGTGCACCCAAGGACTCACTCCTCGGGCTTAGCCACCGAGAAGAATAAATCTCATTGTCTCTTTCACCTTAGTCACACACTGGAGCTCACCAATTACATAATGGAGAGCCAGCCGCAGGAATTCTCAATTTATCACTACAGTTGAAAAGTTAGAACTCAAATATGACATTCCAAAAACATGCAGTATAATCCCTTATCACCTGCGCAGAACCAGCAAATGCACCTTAACCTTTTAATTAAAACAGCCTCCGGCAATCTGTTTTCATGCAAAGAATGAAACCAGACCCAATAAAGAACTGAGTAGAATATGATAACCTTCTCCTACAGTATTACCGCCTATTTATAATTCACAGGGAAGGGAATTCTCAAAATAGCCTATTCTTGAACGGACAGAAATATCTTTACTCTGAAAGTTAAAAAAAAAGTTTGAACGGATAGTCTATGAAAAATGGCCATTGTCCATCTTCATAGACTCTGATCAGGGGAGATACCCTCCATTCTCTTCTATCAGCACCAAATGTCACCATCTCGACCTTCAAACCTATCACAGGGGCCCGGTCAGAGTAAGGAATGAGAGGCCTAGCACTCAACCTTATCAAGTTTCACTGAGTCGGCACAGAACGTAAAGTGGGAGAGGGCTGACATGGAACCCAATCGCTAGACCCAAATGCTCCAATCATCCCCGGAAAAAAATGATAGCATTGCAGAATTTTCTTTCCTCTGGGTTTTTGTCAGAAGGTATTTTGTAGGTTATCTGAAGTTTCTTGAAAAGGGAGACCATAGCCATGTGTTGGCATATGAATTCTAACAGGTCCTTGTCACAGGATGTTGGATTAACAACAGTAGATGAATTGGTGAATTATACTCACCCCAGTGCTGAGATTACCACTATTAACACAGCCAGCCAGACAAGGGTTAAAGTACGTAATTCCATCTGATCCACAGACTGGCTCGTACTCGTGTGTTTTACAACCACAATTAACATTGCAGCTTCCTGTCAGATTCCTATGAGGCATGGTGAGAGAAGGTCTGAGAGAGAAAAGAAGCAGACCGTGAGCAACATTAACTAAAATAAAACTAACAGCGAAGTTCTTGAGTTAAGTAATTTGTCCAAATTAGAGAAGATATTCCCATTAAATCAAAGCAATGGTACCATGAAGAAGCCACCCTCATTATTTTTTATGACATTAAAACAAAACATAAAGAAAAATCTTTCAATTTCCTGGTACCACAGATTCAATAGTTTTGTATCAAATTATCTACCTGCTTCAATTCGACCTCTATCTTGGTGCTATGGATCTGGTCTCAACATCTGGACTCAGCAGTTCTAAACTCATATGACTACTCACTTACTAGAGACGCTTGGCTCTGTCTTAACAAACCTGGGCCTCAATTTCTTTAACTGTAAAATGGAGGAAATGTTTTTCTGTGCCAAATGAATAACATCATTATGAGGGCATAAACATGGAATCCATCAATCACAGTTGCCAGCACAGGTTCCTTTGACCAAAAAGTTTAATTGTTCTAGAATAAATTCTCAAAGAAAGACATGGGACTTGAGAAAATCAAAAGGAAGTAATTTTCAAAGAAGATCAGGAATAACATCATTAACTTGATTCAAACAACCAGAGAAGAAAGATTAAACAGTGTCCTTCCCTCAGGAATGCCCAGATGTGGGTTCACGGTCAAATGTGGTAGGTTTGGTTTTCTCATGAGATCATGATGTCTGATTCAAAGAAATGATACAGTATGAAAAGCTCTAATAAAATCAATTCAAGGGGAAAAAAGGCAAGTAAGGATATAGGGCTGGGGAGAGAAGTGTAAAGAAATGGCTGTGGAAGAGCAGAGGCAGGAAGGTATCTAGAGGGAACCCACAGAAGAATGAAAGGGGCTCTGTAGTGCTCATCCCAGTGACCTCTTTCCTTTGCTTTTGCGACTATCATGTTTAGGTGTCACTGATGAAATACTGTTCCTAAAGCCACATGAATTAGCACTTGCAGATCCTTCATTCATCCGTCCATCTATCCATCATCCATCCATTCAACAACATCTGTTATGTGCCAGGACTTATCTTTAATGACGATGTTGAGTAACCACTCATCCAGTAGCACAGTTCATCCCAACCATATGTATTAATTTATAAACCTAAAGCACTGTTTGTTCAAAGAATTTTCTCCTGTGGCCTCTTTCGCACTTTAACTGAGTCCTCAAATTTTAATGGAAGGAAAAAAATCACAGTACTATTTAAACCTTATCAAGAAAGTCTTTTAAAAAGGTAAAGGTAGAAATAAGTCAGAGGGAGAAAGTCAAATACTATGTGATCTAAGTCATAAACAGAAGATGAAAACAAGAAACAAACATATAGAGACAGAGATTGGATGGGTGGTTACCAGAGGGGAGTGGGGAAGGAAGGAGGGCAAAAGGGTGATTAGGCCCATGTATGTGGGGATAGATTGTAAATAGTCTTTGGGTGGTGAACACGATGTAATCTACACAGAAGTAGAAATAACAGCGATGTACACCTGAAATTTATATAATGTTATAAACCAATGTTACCACAATAAAGAAAAATAAAGTCAGCTGAAAAAATAAATAAATAATAAAAAATTCAAAGACAAAAGTAAAATGAACTCTATTCTTCATTCATGTCATTCCACAAAAGAAATTTTGTCACAATACTTTGATCATTTTTATCTTTACAAACTCTTGAATCATATCATTTTAAAGTTTGAATATACCTGAGCAGGGGATCTGAACAGATTTTTCCCAAAGAGACGTACAGATGGCCAACAGGCACATGAAAAGATGTTCAACATTACTAATTATTAGGGGAATGGAATCAAGACCACAATGAGATATCACCTCACACCCATCGGAATGGCTATTATTAAAAAGACAAGAAATAACAAGTATTGGAGAGGATGTGGAGAAAAGGGAACCCTCATACACTGCTGGTGGGAGTGTAAACTGGTGCAGCCACTATAGAAAACAGTACAAAGACTCCTCAAAAAATTAAAAGTACAAATACCATATGATTCAGCTATTGCACTTCTGGGTATTTATACAAGGAACATGAAAACACTAATTTGAAAAAATGGATGCACCCCTATGCTCACTGCAGCATTATTCACAGTAGCCAAAACTTGGAAACGTAAGTTCTCACTGATGGATGAATGGATAAAGAAGATGTGGTATATATACACAATGGAATAGTAGCCAGCCACAAAAAAAGATGAAATCTTGCCATTTGTGACAACATGGATGGACCTCGAGGGCACTACGCTAAGTGAAATAAGTCAGATGGAAAAATCCAAATATCATATAATTTCACTCATATGTGGAAGATAAAACAATAACAACAACAAACAAACACATAGATACAGAGAATAGATCGATGGTTACCAGAGGAAAAGGGGTGGGGGTAGGGTGAAAGAGGTAAAGGGGGACATTTGTACAGTGATGGATGGCAACTAGACTTTTGGTGACGAACATGATGTAGTCTACACAGAAGTTGAAATATAATGATGTCCACCTGAATTTATGTAACGTCAAAAACCAATGTTACCTCAACAAAAAAAAAATTCAAAAGAAATAAAGTTTGAATATATCTTTTAAAATGTGATTCTAGACCAATAGTTCTCCACATGGGCAATTTTGCCCCGCAGGGGACATTTGGCAATGTGGAGACATTTTCGTTTGTCACAACTGAGGAGGTGCTACTGGCATCTAATGGGAAGAAGTCACAGATGCTGCAAACATCCTACGAGACACAGAGCAGTGCCTTCCCCACAATAAAGAGTTAACTGGCTCCGATCTCATCACACTGAGGCTTAGAAACCCCATTCTAGATCTACTACCACGTTCTACACATGAGGAAATGGAGGGCCGGGGTGGCCAAATGATCCACTATGAAGTTGAATGGTGCTGTGTTGACTGGGATCATATGAAAAGCATTCTGTGTGCTTTACTATTCTCTTCACCAGTTCTTCAAGAAGTAAATTGCAAACCATGACCTAATAAAAGGGCTTTTATATGTCTGCATACTTAGTCACTAAAAATGACAGGCTTCAAATCCATACAATATGGTTATGACTGTTGATATTTAGAAGCTACAAGGAACTTCCTCCTAACAGCATGCTTGTAGTCATTTATGACAGCCACAGATTCCAAACACCTCTCCTTTATGAGCATGGCCACTCAAGAGAAAGGAATCCAATGATAATATTAACAGATGCTCCAAACACACTGATGAGAGGAAGGCAAAAGCTTTCCTGAGGTCCAGAAACAGAGGCACCACCCCAGGTCACCCTTGGGTACGTTTGCTTTTGTTAGGAGATCATGGTGTCTGATATGAAGAAATGACACAATCTGAAAAGATCTAAGAAAATCAGAACAAGCAACAAATATAAATACCAGTGAAAAGAAGTGGGCATTCATGAAAATGTCATTAGAGAAAAAGGTCACAGTGGCACACACAAAAAAAGACACCGACATGGTTAATCCTTTTACCCTGTGCCAATAAAAGAAAAAACCATTTTTAAGAATAATATCTTGTTTGATGATCACTCACTCTCCAGAAAACAGACTGGATTATAATAATGGTGCAAGAGTTTAAACCTGAGGAACATCACGTAACCTCATTAGCCTGAAGTGAACCCATCGTGGGCATATAAACTGCACAAGGGCTGCAGTACGCTGCACTGATCCTTGTGCCAAAGTACTGGGCCTCACCTCTCCAATAAACGAGAGCATTTCTGACAAGTTAGCCTTCCAAATAAGAGGCTCATGTTAACCCGGCGTCAATGTAAGCGTTAATTCTCAGCGAGAATCAAGGCCACACCACCAAACGGCTGCAAGCTGCAAGCCTGAGAGTTCCACATGACATCTTACTATAAAAATCATGGAATTCCAGAAGTGGAGAAATGAAAGGGGTCTCTGATACTGTCTAGTGCAACTTGAGAATTTTGAGGAACAGAAAACTATGGGAGGTGTCATGACATGCCCCACAATCATTGAGGCTTCAAGAAAACCAGCCACAGGCAGACAGCAAAAAAGGGACAGCAGAAAAGCCGCTTGCTGCCCCATCTTCATGAAATCAATCACTTAAGGATCAATGTTCATTTAAAGTCATATACAATAACAAAACAAATTGTTGCTTAACACAAGTAAAAAAATCTCTGCGTGGGGTCATTACAGCTGGGTATGTAAGGACACAGTCACCTTCAAATCACACACATGTGCACGCACACACACAGTGTATCCTATCACCTCAGCCCAAGACCCAAACAACACTTGAACTTCCCCATCTGATGTACAAGCTGGTCTCCATAAATCAAAGAGGAGTCCCCTTACCTTCTTTCTGCCTCCAGGTGTCTCCCTATTAAAAGATAGGACAAGTCATGCATTTTACGTTCAAGCCACCAGGATTAAAAAATATGATTCACGCAGCACGAACCTTTTTAGCAAAATACTAGAAAAAATTGGTATCTTTCTCATCATTTCTTAATCTCTATCAATTTATCTCAGTCTTCAAGAAGATTTCAATTAGAATGTTTCTCTTTAATTCTACTTAAATTCTGGCTTCATATTAAAATCCTTCCTTGGCTAAGCAATAGAAAGAATAAACAAATGGGACTTCATCAGACTAAAGAGCTTCTTCAAGGCAAATGAAAACAGGATTGAAACAAAAAAACTACCCACTAACTGGGAAAAAATATTTGCAAGTCATATATCTGACAAAGGCTTGATATCCATAATATATAAAGAACTCTCACAACTCAACAACAACAAAAATCAAACAACCCAATCAAAAAATGGGCTGGAGACATGAATAGACATTTCTCCAAAGAAGATATATGGATGGCCAATAGGCACATGAAAAGATGCTCATCGTTGCTGATCATCAGGGAAATGCAAATCAAATCTACACTAAGATATCACCTTACACCCATTAGAATGACAAAAATATCTAAAACTAATAGTAACAAACGTTGGAGAGGTTGTGGAGAAAAAGGAACCCTCATACACTG